CATTTAATAATAAAGTTTCTTTTTAAAGTTGCAGTTCACCTTTATTTCTAAATATTCTAACTAGAAGCTAAACTGCTATAGGTCTGGCTATCAGAAGTCAACACCCATCTTTTGGAATCTATAGTGAATAAGGAAAAAAATGATCCTTCAGAAAAATTATGAAAGCAATACTCGAAAAAAATTAAATAGCTCTCAGATTATGTTCATTGTGAAGGAAAATGACAAGCAAAAACCCAATGGAAAATCAGAAAAAAAGAGCATGTTGCTATTAGATGGAGGAACATCACAGAGACTAGAATCATAGAAACGTTACAGTGCGGAAAGAGGCCAAGCGGCCCATCATGCCTGTGCTCGCTGAGTAAGCTATAGAATCACAGAACTCTTACAGTAAAAAGAGGCCAGTCAGCCCACTTAACCTGCACCAATCCTCTGAAGAGCATCCCTCTTAGACCCAACCTGCATATCCCTGGACATGATGAGCAATTTAGCATGGCAAATCCATCTAATCTGCACACCTTTAGAAACCCATGCAGCAAAGGGGAGAACATGCAAACTCCACCTTGATAGTAACCCAAGGCTGGAGTCGAACCCACGGTCTCTGGTGCTCTGAGGCAGCAACTAGTTGCCCATTTAAATCCCATTTCCAGTGAATGGTCTATAACCTTGCAAGGTACAGCTTTTCAGGTGCAGATCCCCAGGTTCCCTTTAATTGAATTGAAGGGTTCCATCTCAACCACCAGATTGGGTTGTAAAATCTACCACCTTCTAGGTAAAAATGTTTGAAAAGATTTTCCCAGAACAGCAACATAGTCCCTGCAGAAAAATGGTCTGGAAGGGAAAGCCAATAGAAAGCTTTAGACTTTATAGATCAACATTGATTGATAATTTAAAAATAATTCATCGTCCCACAGTGAATATGATTAATCCAACTAAGTTCAAAGTTGGATGTATAGTGTGATGTTGATATTTAAGGTTTTAACAAAGATTTGTAGCTCGGGTTGTGGGTCGGGTTGTTGACTTAAATAAAAACCAAAAGAATTGCGGATGCTGTAAATCAGGAACAAAACAAAGTTGCTGGAAAAGCTCAGTGGGTCTGGCAGCATCTGTGAAGAAAAAAATCAGAGTTAACGTTTCGGGTCCGGTGACCCTTCTTCAGAACTGGAGTTTCAAACGTCAGTATACAGGAAAGCAACCCACACTGACCAAATCCTCAACTTCCACAGCAACCACCCCAATGTCCACAAACAAAGCTGTGTCAGGATACTATTTAAACGGATCACCACTCACTGCAACACTCCAGAACTACGCAGGAAAGAGGAAGAGCTCGCTATAAATGGATATCTCCACAACTTCATCAGCAGGTGCCTATGAAACAGACAACAACAGGAGGACACAGTACGCTCCAACACACTGGCCACACTGCCCTACATCAAAAAGATATCAGAACTGATAACAAGACTCCTATGAACACTAGGAATCATGGTGGCACACAAACCCACAGCCACTCTACAGCAAACACTCACATGTATTAAAGATCCCATTCCCACAACATGCGGAACCAACGTAGTTTACAAAATACCATGCCACAAGCATTACATCAGACAGACAGGAAGGAAACTAGCCATCAGAATATACGAACATCAGCTAGCAGCAAAACAGCATGTCGAACTTTCCTTACTATCAGTACACTCGGACAATGAAGGCCATCAGTTTAACTGGGACAATGTAACCATAGTAGCCCAAGCCAAACATAGACACACACGGGAATTCCTAGAGGCATGGCTCTTAACCCATAATGCAATCAACAAACACACAGAATTGGACCCCATATACAAATTCATCCAGAACAAAACTGGAAATGACACAACTCACTGTAACAGACTGGAGAGTATAAATTCCAAGAGGGGTAGAACAACATCGCTTCATCAGAGGCCTCACTGATGATGTCACCTAGCCTGGTGACGAAACGTCTGAACGAAAACAAACCAGCTCAGCGAGCAAGTCAGTAATGTTGATGTCATAAATTCTAATTATATGATGGCTAACAGGGTAATAATGATTATCTTGTTGCTGTCTTGTGATATTTGTTACGAATATCTAATTTCATAATTCTTATAGATTTGAAATATAACTTTTAGTTTGGGAATCTGAATTTTCAAGTGCAGGTAATGTCAACTCTTGGTTGAGGAGCAGGTACACCAAAGTTAGGGTAGATGAACATCAAACATGTATGGTGTAAGTACTAATAAAAGTATAGTCTATGTTTGTTTAATAAGCGATAGAATCCGACAGATGAGCTCTTAGTACAGACAGGACATCTACATTAATCTAAATAATAGTTTAAATTAGTCACTTAGTCTTCAAAACAAAGAAACTCCAAAAGCAACTGGACTTCTTGATGGAACCAGTGAGTCTGGTAAAATGGTCATTCATTCCATTATAGAGATAGATTATTCATTTGTATTCTAGAATCTAATGATTGTTTTGAAGGTCAAAGATAATTAGTTTTACATTTCTATTTGTAACATTCCAGATATGCCACATTGCTACAGAAATAGATTAAATAAGAAATACTTCTTTGTTTTGTGTTTTATCTGTTGTTATTCAGAGAAAATGTTGTTGAAAGTTTGGAGGTAGTCAGCATGGAGAAAGTACAGATAAGGCACTTTGTAGAACCTTAGAAGACAGCTGCTAGGAAAGATGCACGATTCTGTTTTAAAAGTGACTGAGTAAGGATATGAGTTAAGCCCATGCTTGAGCGGAGGTGTCCACAATCGTGAGATCTTGAAAGAAAATTTGAGAGTTGGTCGATTAAAAATTGTGGACTCATCCCTGTAAGTCTCTTCCCTCGGAGAACATCTGAAATACCAAGGAGAACTAAAAGTGAATATGAAAGAGCTATGGCATGCCTTGCTTTAATCCCAAGAGAATTGAATGAAGATTTTGTAATATATGGGGACCTATTAGTTGGTGGTAAAAAGAAAAGGATTCAAAGTTGTTATACAATATAACATTAATTTAGTGTTTTATTTAATTCTGTACAGTATCTTACTTTGTGTAGCCCTTTCACTTAATTGCAAAGATCTCAAATTTCCCTTTAAATGGTCTCTACGGAGATCATAACTTAACAGCAGAATACGTAAATTGAAGCAGCCTGATTTGGAGAGATTAGTAGCTGAAAATTCATCATCTGTACCAGGAACAGATTAGATCCTCTTAACATTAAAGTGCTGGAGACTAAACACAAACTTGATGAAGTAACCGGGCACAACATCAGATGGTCTTATCACATTACACTTCAACAATTAGGAATAACATTTATTGCAGAGGCAGAATAAATTTAAGGGAAAGATACTCCTTTTCTTCATTCTTCATTAGATACTGGCATTGCTAGCAAGGACAGTATTTGTTGCTTATTTCTAATTGCCCTTGAAAAGGTGATGATGACTTGCCTCGTTGAACGACTCTAGTTCAAGTGATGTGGATACATCCACAAGTTCTATTAGGAAGGGTTCTAGAATTTTTACTCACTGACAGTGAAGGAACAGTGACTTGGAATTATAAGCCACATTTCAGTTCTGATACATCTGTTGCTCATGTCCTCCTGGATAGTAGAGGTTACAGATTTGGAAGGTGTTCTAGCTGAAGGGTTGATAAGCTGTTGCAGTGCATCTAGGATATAATACACACTGCTGCCACTCTGCATTGGTAATAGATGGATTGAATGCTTAATATAATGGATGGGGTGACAATTGAGTGGGCTGCTTTATCTTGGATGGTGTCAAGCTTTTGAGCATTTGAGGATCTGTGCTCATCCAGGGGGATGTAAAGTATTCCATCACACTGCCAATATGTGCCTTGTGGATGCTGGACAAGTTTTAGGGATTCCAAAGGTGAATTACTTGTCTAAAAATTCCTTTCCTTTGACCTACCCTTGTAGCCACAATATTTATATGGTAAATCCAGTTCAGTTTCAGGCCAATGATAACTGCCAGGATGTCAATGGTGGGGAATTCACTGATGATAATGCCATTGAATGTTAAGGGGATAAGGTTACACCGTCTCTTTTTGGAGGTGAGTCATTGCCTGGAACTAATGTGGCATGAATGCCTCTAGACATCATTAAAGTTGTTTTCCTCACAGAGTAAAGCAAATACTAATAGATGGTTAAATTCACAATAGCTTGCACTTATGCTGAAACCTGTAATTTAAAAAGATATCAAATGCTTTCCAAGGAAAATAAGTAATGAGCACTAAAAATGATAACCAGGAGAGGTGACTGAAAGATTGGCCCAAGAGATGAGTCTTAAAAAGGCCTTTAAAGAAAGAGATAAAAACAGAGAAGTATAAGGGTTAAAGTAAAGGTTTTATATGCTTGGAACTAAATTGATTTAAGGCTGTGTCACCAATGGTGAGATGAAAGAAAGACTGAGTCAGTGAAATAAATAGTTTGAAACCTGATCAAGACTGAATAATGTTGCATAACTATAGTGAAGGAAGCATGTTAAATTCAACATGTAGGGAATAGGAAAATGGAAACCGAAAGAACTGCAGATGTTGTAAATCAGGGACAAAAACAAAGTTGCTGGAAAAGCCCAGCAGGTCTGGTAGCATCTGTGAAGAAAAAAATCAGAGTTAATGTTTCGGGTCCAGTGACCCTTCCTCAGAACAGAACAAAATGGAATAGGAAAATGGCACTGGCAAGCAACAACGCAGGATGATGGATGAATAGGACTTAGGGCTTTGGTTCAGTTGGAGTTTGTGGAGATTAAGCAACAGAACCTGACAAGGAAGAAATGGGAACATTGAATCCAAAGGTAGCAATAGTGTGTAGAAGAGCTTTGGTGGCAGTGGATTGAGGCGAATGATTGACACATGATATTACTGAAAAAAAAATTAGAAATGCTCGCGGTAAATAGTGTCATGACGATGGATCAGAACCCTGAAGAACTTATGGATATATATTGAACTTTGAATTAGAATATGTGTTTTTTTTTCAGGAAAGAACATACAGCCAAAAGACAACTATGGATGTAAATTTGGTATCTGGAGAGAAACCTCAATATGTCACACCTGAAGTGGCCAGGGAAACCTCAAGTGGCAATCCTTCAATGGGAGAGAGGTAAATCAGACAAACTGGGCCGTTAACCTCTGCGGCTACAGATATATTGATGGGCTGGCAAAATCCTGTGCCCTCCAAGAGCCCTCCACTCACTTCATCAGAAAGTCACGTCCTGCAGTCATGATGTGTTTTCCCTTTTTAAGTATACACAAGAACAGAAGGTGAAAGCTAGATTCAAGCATTGGTTTTGTGTGCTTATGGATGGATGTGTGTGCTATGAGGGCCACAGCTCAGGAAATGCCAAGTCATTCAAGTGCATCAGGTTAAAAAAAAGAGTCACTCCTTCTTTGATTATTCCAGAACGTATGAAAAGTCACAGCCAAAAGGAAACAGGACAAAGGCATTTCAATCCCCCTGCGAAGCCAACTATCTCAAAGTCACTCACCTACGAACATCCCAGCTACTGGATCAACCAACTTGGCAGCTGTAACAATCTACTCTGTACTCTTCACAAACAACCGAGAGACACATCTATATATCTTGTAACCTCTGTCCTTCTTTGGACTCAGTTCTAATTTCTAATTTGTTCATTTGCACATTGTGTTATTGTTCTTCTTTCGTTTAGTAACTAATAAACTCACTTTTTTTATGTGGAAAAGAATATGTGGAAAAAATAATCTATTTAAAACATAAATTCATTGGAAACTGAGAGAAAGTTACCAACAAGATAAGGGATTTTGTTTCAAATTAACCTTGTTGTGACCAACCAAGAAGGTGAATAAAGTAGGGGAACCAGTTTATCCATCTTCAGCTGGAAGATTGAGAATTTGGGATATTCTATCTGGAACAATATTAAAATGGGGACCCTTGCCTGGTGGTCTGGTCAAAAAATAAATGTGCTCGAAGCTCAGCTTTGGAACAAGTAGGAGAGTGATATTCCACAAAGTTTGGTTTAGCTGAAGACAGTGGATGGAGAACAACCAGTTGCAGACTGGTGATGTTTACATCACAGGCTGAAAAAAATATCTACAACCTTCAGTGGGAGGATGTTTTGTCTTATACATGACAGTAGCTAGATGAAGAATAGGAAGAAAACTTTTACCAAGTAGAATATGACTAATATCAACAACCTGGTGGAAATCGATATTAAAAAGTAAAATGATGACTTCAGATCCAATAACTGTCTGCAAAGTTGTCCGGCTTCGAGATGGAAAAGATCCAATCATAAAAGAATGCAAGAATCCATTTTAAGATTTGAAGAAACATAGTGCTATTGGAACCTCATTGTTTCTGACTTGAATACAATGCTGTTCTTTGAGCTATAACAATTTGGGACTCTACATTCGATTGAGAGTGAAATTCCAGATCTAGAAAAAAAAACTTATTTGTGCTGTATATTTGGTTAGTCTAATGAACAGAGATTACTGAGTATTTGATAGCCTAGTTTATTATGTATTAAGGAACTGCACACAGCTATTTTGAAATTTGACTAAATCCAATGACGCTATGGTGCTTTTCCTCTCAAGTCTCTGTCTCCCTCTCATGTGATCTACATTGTCTCAGTTGGAGGTATTACTCATAGTGTTCCAAACATTAATTGTTTCAAACCTTTAGACCACAGATAAACAAAATTAATGAACAGTGTTGCAGATGATCCTGAAATGAAGGTAGGTATAAGTGCATTTCAAAGGAAATTAAAATCTTGTTCAGAAGTCATGTAATATTGGGCAGGCATAATGGGATTGACTGCTTATCAAAAACCTGGTCTATACAAATGAAAATGTGGTAAAGTTCCAAGCTGGTTGCCTCAAAGTCATTAGACAAAGTGATCGACTTGTTAAATGCTAGTTGTTGGATATTCAGGTAGTCACCTAGGCAAACCAAAGACTGGCAAGAGGACCAGAGGATTGATTACTAAGTTACAAGCTGCAAATAAATAATCAATCAATTCTTTATCATGCCCAGTAGTAGCTCATGTGGCTCAAATTTTATGACAAAGATACAGCATGGGAAATACACCAAGGGATAAGTGCAGAGATAGTAGGAACTGCAGATGCTGGAGAATCCGAGACAACAAGGTGC